AAGGTTGGGGACGGAGTGCTAGAGCTTGAAAACGCAATTTGGCGAAATTCATATTTTGACCCGAACAACAGGTACGGCATGGGGAGAAAATTCGTGAAAACGTCAAAAGGGAGCTAGACGTGTTTTGACCGGTTCAAAAGAAAGAGGAAGGTTGGGGACGGAGTGCTAGAGCTTGAAAACGCAATTTGGCGAAATTCATATTTTGACCCGAACAACAGGTACGGCATGGGGAGAAAATTCGTGAAAACGTCAAAGGGAGCTAGACGTGTTTTGACCGGTTCAAAAGAAAGAGGAAGGTTGGGGACGGAGTGCTAGAGCTTGAAAACGCAATTTGGCGAAATTCATATTTTGACCCGAACAACAGGTACGGCATGGGGAGAAAATTCGTGAAAACGTCAAAAGGGAGCTAGACGTGTTTTGACCGGTTCAAAAGAAAGAGGAAGGTTGGGGACGGAGTGCTAGAGCTTGAAAACGCAATTTGGCGAAATTCATATTTTGACCCGAACAACAGGTACGGCATGGGGAGAAAATTCGTGAAAACGTCAAAAGGGAGCTAGACGTGTTTTGACCGGTTCAAAAGAAAGAGGAAGGTTGGGGACGGAGTGCTAGAGCTTGAAAACGCAATTTGGCGAAATTCATATTTTGACCCGAACAACAGGTACGGCATGGGGAGAAAATTCGTGAAAACGTCAAAAGGGAGCTAGACGTGTTTTGACCGGTTCAAAAGAAAGAGGAAGGTTGGGGACGGAGTGCTAGAGCTTGAAAACGCAATTTGGCGAAATTCATATTTTGACCCGAACAACAGGTACGGCATGGGGAGAAAATTCGTGAAAACGTCAAAAGGGAGCTAGACGTGTTTTGACCGGTTCAAAAGAAAGAGGAAGGTTGGGGACGGAGTGCTAGAGCTTGAAAACGCAATTTGGCGAAATTCATATTTTGACCCGAACAACAGGTACGGCATGGGGAGAAAATTCGTGAAAACGTCAAAAGGGAGCTAGACGTGTTTTGACCGGTTCAAAAGAAAGAGGAAGGTTGGGGACGGAGTGCTAGAGCTTGAAAACGCAATTTGGCGAAATTCATATTTTGACCCGAACAACAGGTACGGCATGGGGAGAAAATTCGTGAAAACGTCAAAAGGGAGCTAGACGTGTTTTGACCGGTTCAAAAGAAAGAGGAAGGTTGGGGACGGAGTGCTAGAGCTTGAAAACGCAATTTGGCGAAATTCATATTTTGACCCGAACAACAGGTACGGCATGGGGAGAAAATTCGTGAAAACGTCAAAAGGGAGCTAGACGTGTTTTGACCGGTTCAAAAGAAAGAGGAAGGTTGGGGACGGAGTGCTAGAGCTTGAAAACGCAATTTGGCGAAATTCATATTTTGACCCGAACAACAGGTACGGCATGGGGAGAAAATTCGTGAAAACGTCAAAAGGGAGCTAGACGTGTTTTGACCGGTTCAAAAGAAAGAGGAAGGTTGGGGACGGAGTGCTAGAGCTTGAAAACGCAATTTGGCGAAATTCATATTTTGACCCGAACAACAGGTACGGCATGGGGAGAAAATTCGTGAAAAATGTGAAAAGGGAGCTAGACGTGTTTTGACCGGTTCAAAAGAAAGAGGAAGGTTGGGGACGGAGTGCTAGAGCTTGAAAACGCAATTTGGCGAAATTCATATTTTGACCCGAACAACAGGTACGGCATGGGGAGAAAATTCGTGAAAACGTCAAAAGGGAGCTAGACGTGTTTTGACCGGTTCAAAAGAAAGAGGAAGGTTGGGGACGGAGTGCTAGAGCTTGAAAACGCAATTTGGCGAAATTCATATTTTGACCCGAACAACAGGTACGGCATGGGGAGAAAATTCGTGAAAACGTCAAAAGGGAGCTAGACGTGTTTTGACCGGTTCAAAAGAAAGAGGAAGGTTGGGGACGGAGTGCTAGAGCTTGAAAACGCAATTTGGCGAAATTCATATTTTGACCCGAACAACAGGTACGGCATGGGGAGAAAATTCGTGAAAACGTCAAAAGGGAGCTAGACGTGTTTTGACCGGTTCAAAAGAAAGAGGAAGGTTGGGGACGGAGTGCTAGAGCTTGAAAACGCAATTTGGCGAAATTCATATTTTGACCCGAACAACAGGTACGGCATGGGGAGAAAATTCGTGAAAACGTCAAAAGGGAGCTAGACGTGTTTTGACCGGTTCAAAAGAAAGAGGAAGGTTGGGGACGGAGTGCTAGAGCTTGAAAACGCAATTTGGCGAAATTCATATTTTGACCCGAACAACAGGTACGGCATGGGGAGAAAATTCGTGAAAACGTCAAAAGGGAGCTAGACGTGTTTTGACCGGTTCAAAAGAAAGAGGAAGGTTGGGGACGGAGTGCTAGAGCTTGAAAACGCAATTTGGCGAAATTCATATTTTGACCCGAACAACAGGTACGGCATGGGGAGAAAATTCGTGAAAACGTCAAAAGGGAGCTTAGACGTGTTTTGACCGGTTCAAAAGAAAGAGGAAGGTTGGGGACGGAGTGCTAGAGCTTGAAAACGCAATTTGGCGAAATTCATATTTTGACCCGAACAACAGGTACGGCATGGGGAGAAAATTCGTGAAAACGTCAAAAGGGAGCTAGACGTGTTTTGACCGGTTCAAAAGAAAGAGGAAGGTTGGGGACGGAGTGCTAGAGCTTGAAAACGCAATTTGGCGAAATTCATATTTTGACCCGAACAACAGGTACGGCATGGGGAGAAAATTCGTGAAAACGTCAAAAGGGAGCTAGACGTGTTTTGACCGGTTCAAAAGAAAGAGGAAGGTTGGGGACGGAGTGCTAGAGCTTGAAAACGCAATTTGGCGAAATTCATATTTTGACCCGAACAACAGGTACGGCATGGGGAGAAAATTCGTGAAAACGTCAAAAGGGAGCTAGACGTGTTTTGACCGGTTCAAAAGAAAGAGGAAGGTTGGGGACGGAGTGCTAGAGCTTGAAAACGCAATTTGGCGAAATTCATATTTTGACCCGAACAACAGGTACGGCATGGGGAGAAAATTCGTGAAAACGTCAAAAGGGAGCTAGACGTGTTTTGACCGGTTCAAAAGAAAGAGGAAGGTTGGGGACGGAGTGCTAGAGCTTGAAAACGCAATTTGGCGAAATTCATATTTTGACCCGAACAACAGGTACGGCATGGGGAGAAAATTCGTGAAAACGTCAAAAGGGAGCTAGACGTGTTTTGACCGGTTCAAAAGAAAGAGGAAGGTTGGGGACGGAGTGCTAGAGCTTGAAAACGCAATTTGGCGAAATTCATATTTTGACCCAACAACAGGTACGGCATGGGGAGAAAATTCGTGAAAACGTCAAAAGGGAGCTAGACGTGTTTTGACCGGTTCAAAAGAAAGAGGAAGGTTGGGGACGGAGTGCTAGAGCTTGAAAACGCAATTTGGCGAAATTCATATTTTGACCCGAACAACAGGTACGGCATGGGGAGAAAATTCGTGAAAACGTCAAAAGGGAGCTAGACGTGTTTTGACCGGTTCAAAAGAAAGAGGAAGGTTGGGGACGGAGTGCTAGAGCTTGAAAACGCAATTTGGCGAAATTCATATTTTGACCCGAACAACAGGTACGGCATGGGGAGAAAATTCGTGAAAACGTCAAAAGGGAGCTAGACGTGTTTTGACCGGTTCAAATTGAAATCACAATTAAGCCTTTTACACGAATAAAGATGACATCAGTTTGGGAAGCAAGCATGTGAGGCTTTATTTTCAAAGGTCTTGCAGCTCCTATTATGTTTACACAAAACGGAAATGCATTTTCAGAGAATTTTGGAACATGGAAAAAGCAAAATGGTCAAATAATCATCCAACTTTGAAATACTGAAAACATATGTGTTGAGCATCCCTGCTATCTGTACATATACCAAATATGATTATATTTTAAACAAACATGTTTGAGTAATGTACATGTGAAGCTACAGATACCTCACTCCTAACTTCACACATACATAGATTTCATTCCATATTTACAAACAACATGTATGGCAGATATATGAAGCAATGTAGGACATTCACTGGATCTCCAGGCTAAGGCCCTGCCCTAAGAATGTCATGAACTATTCCAGTGACCTACAGAAAATGATTCTTTAGTTCATAAGTTGAAGCTGTAGCCTCAAGGATAACCTATACCCTTGATATGTCTAATCAAGATAACAAACCATTCCTTTGGACATAAAATATACATTTGATGTGATTTCTGGTGCCTTTCTTCAAAAACAAAGTCCAGTAACATGCTCATTTGCATCAAACTGATCAATAACACATACCTGGACTGTAGTATTACTACAAGCGAGTCCGGTATTTCCATGCGTGCGGTAATTCTGCACAGCTGCAATAGCGTTATTTCCGTATCGAAGGTAAACAACATCTGCTACCACATTTACGCTTGAAATCGGGACATTTCTACAAGGGACTGGCTTTTAATCACTAAAGTTAAGTAAATAACAGCAATTGACAGATAAATTGACAATTTTATGAAAATTCATTTTCTTCAGACTTTTAAACATTTTTCTTCATTATTCATAAATGGATTTAATATGCAAAACTCTTCCTTACATTGATGGAGTGATTTTTGAAAATTATCTGGCCCTAATACGCTTCCATACTTCGGATCTCCAGCTGGATGTTATGTGCATCAGTTGCAGCGCATAATTACCGGACAGCAAGTGATGTCGTCAGAATGCCGGTAACGTCAACCGTATGGCATAAGGGAACGTTAGAATCTTATAGTTGTCAATAAAACCTATATTTCTAGGTAAATATGATGCATACCAGCATGTTTAGTCACGTAAACCACAAAAAATAAGAGATGTTAGTTGCCGTGTTGCGATTGATGTGCTTAGGTGCACGGAATTACCGGACGGCATTGTATACATCTTGCTTAAATATCACAAAGCTTTTTATTTCAAGAATCAAGTGTCCAAACCATAATTATAGTGAATTTGCATTTCAGAAAATGGACACTGGCATAGTTTCTGGAAATTTATTTCAAATCAAAGCTTTGCTGAAGTCCCGAGGAAGTCAGTTGGTGAATACTGTCACTTTAAAACTCCTTGGTAGTAAGGCAACAAGGAGTGTTGTCATCCCTAAGTCCTAATGAGGATCACCTTGTCGCTGCTGTTTCTGTTGTTCAAGTAGCCGTTCAAGTGGTGATGGACCTGATGTTGACCATATTGACTGTAGAAAAACAGGAGAAAAACCAATGAGATATGTAAACTTTTGTATGCTCTGTGAATCACATGGACAAATAGAACATTGACACTGTAGCTCACCTGGATTATATGTGTTTGTTGGTATAACCCCGCACTTATCAATATATACATGGTCCGTAAATAATCAAGCCTGGACCAGACAATCCAGTGATCAACATCATGAGCATCAATCTATGCTATTGGGATATGAAGACATGTGTCAACCAAGTCAGCTGGTCTGACAACAAAATTCTGATAAGCACCATTCTGACAACAAGCACCTGGGTTACGTAGTAAACGGATCAAGTTGTAAATATAGACAAGAAAAGAAGTTGCTCTCGGCATGGATATTCAAATATTTCCTGATCAAATACTGTGGACTTAAAAACTGACACCAAAATCTAAATATGTTGTCATAAAAAGGAAAAACATACAAACCAAACTTCAGCTTCCTTAGTCGGGCACTTTCATACAGTTTACAGAATATACATAGATGTTTACTTCAAGGGCCCCAATACAGATTATATGTGGGTAATCAATGTGTTCTGTGCATTTCATCAACAGACTTGACACTTCAACATTAAAAATAAAATATTCCACTAGGAAGTGCAATCATTGGTAAAATTCACAGAATATTACCTCCCAGCTATTTTCTTGCATTCTTAGCTGTCATTGCAATGAAAACCTTCACAGTTTCAACAGCAGTCATCATCAAGGTCTATCCATAATTAGTTGTGTAAATAACAGCACTTCGCTTTCTAAAGAATCTATGCTTTTTGCAAGTACTTCATTGCTGCTTGCTACCTTAAGGTTTTCCATTATCCAAAGATCAAAGACTCTGCTTGTTTACTTGTCACAGAGAAACAATTCACTCAAGATTTTGTGTTGATAAACATCTATCCACAACAAAAGGTTTCACCAGTATGCAATGCTTACTTTCTATGTGAGAATCAGAACTTATCAGTAAAACAATTCATCAAATTTTTTAACAGATTAAAGTGACAGCAAAGACCCTCATAATAATTGCTATCATCACCAATATTTAAATATTTTCTGTGCTTGTTAAACAGCATTCCAATTGTTTTGCAATGTTTAAGGAGGGGGAGTGGTGGACTGGTTACTATTTAGATTGGGAGTTAGATTGTTAGTCTGGAAGATCTAGAGCTTCTCAAATATTCCAGTGCAGTCTGACCCGAGGGAATAGAGGAAGTTCCAGAAAAGAAACTTCAGGAAGCTTTTCACATAAGTCAAAAAGGTGGACTCTTGTCTTGGTCATCTCACATTACATCTCACATCACAATGCACAATTCATCAAGACCAGTAGTTTCATGCTTGATTTTGAACCTTGGCCTATTTTGACCACTGTTGCAGCTAGGCGAATCCCAGATGGTATGCAACCCCTAAAAGTACTAGAATCTATACTTTACTGAGAAACATGAAGGGAAGATTGCTTTCCCCATGGCCTCCTCCATGAAGAGGTGGTGATCTGGCAGAGGCATCCTGATTGGAGTCCTGTGAGCGACCGGGAATATTCAACCATACGAGATCCTTGAACACTCTATTTGTAGGCACAATGACAGTCTAGCTGTGTCACTTGATGTTGGCTGATCCAATCTTCAACGTATCTCAGATGCAGATGGTCTCTAGATGTAGGATCCTCCATAGAAGCAAGAGCTCCTAGTAGCAACAGCCATTGACGAAGTGTGTGAAGTTGCTAAACTGTCGTTATCTTGGATCTGACCACTTGATAACGATCATCTGGAGCATAAACTGGGCCTTGACCAGTGTTGAATATTACTACAATATATTTCTGCCCTCTCTGACTCTTCTGGATGAACAAGGACCACCAAATTCTCAATTGCATCCGAAATGCGTAGATCAATGCTAATGCTGTTGATCACTGGATTATCTGGTCCAGACCCGATTATTAACAGACAGCCGCCATATAGGTGGAATATTGATGAGTGCAGTGTAAAAAAACAACAAACCAACCTACCGAATTCTCGGAGAAAGCTCACACAAATTGAGAGGTATCAGTGTCTACATTTGGTGACAGGAAATCGTCCAGGTTTCTGTGAATTCCCATATATTGAAGATAAAGTAGGACTGTAGCTGTGATGATCATAAATAGCCATGCAGAGACTGATATACCTAACGGTTGATCCCAAAAGTGCAAGAGTCTTCCATTGAAAGCAAAGTGTTGTTATCTCTGAGAGTCTGGATGAATCAAAACAAGTAGATACACATCCTGCAGGTCTATGGAGATCATAGAGTCCCCTGTAGAGATCATTTGTCTGAGGTATGGACTCCATTTGAAACTAGGGAGGTCAACTCAGGTATTCCAGGCTGAGGATCTTCATCTTGATATCTACTGAATCCTTTGTGGGAACTAGGAATACCGGGAAAAAAAACCTGGTCAGGGCTTGAAAGGATTCCACTTGATGGCAGCCCTCTTGCCAATGAGCTTGTCTATGGCTGTAATCGCCGCAGAAAATTGGGTTCCAAGATACCAATGCCCTGGTGGGTGTGTCAGGAGAGGTGCCTCTTGGCGAATAGCAATTATCAGTTCCTTGATAACTTAGAGAATCCACTGATCAGTGTTACGATCTTCCAGTCTTCTAAAAAAGCTGATAAACGGCAACCCAATGGATCGTCAAAAAGGGTTATTTTAACAAACATTGTAACACTATGCATGGGCAACATCAATAACTGTTTTCACAGTATTATGTATAAGTCTACATAAATATTAGGAATGTACAACTATTGGCTAAGATCCCCTGAAACATCAGTGATTTAAATGCACATTGTTTCCAAGAGTTTGGAACTGGTTGTTTCTCTTTTGCAAACTGAAGGGGTTTGGGGAATTTTGCTTTAACGATATTTAATATTTTTTTTTTTTTTCATTTCTTTTCAAGCATCATATGAGCTGGGGCGATGGGGCAGCCTAGTGGTTAAAGCGTTGGCTCGTCACGCCGAAGACCCGGGTTTGAATGCCCACATGGGTACAATGTGTGAAGCCCATTTCTGGTGTTCCCCGCCGTGATGTTGCTGGAATATTGCTAAAAGCTGCGTAAAACCAAAACTCAGTCAGTCAGTCAGTCATTATGAGCCTTAGATCTTTTTAGTGTTTAATGCCAACTATTTCACTTACACTCAGGACACTGACAGTAAACGCTCTGAATGTCAACATTTATTTGTCCACAGCATTCCATGTAGAAGTTGGACTTTAGGTAGGTCTTGTCCCGTTGTGTTGGCTTCACTGACACTTTAAAAATTCCAGTGGTGTCAGGAGCATCAACATAATCCAAACTGTTGACGTGATAGTCTTGTAAAAGATTTGTAAGCCCGAAGCTTCCTTCTGTCATAATCGAGCCTGAAAGACACCAAGTAATTAAATATGTCATATATTCCAATTTCCGGACATAGTGACAAATTGTTTGAGTAGCCTTGTAAAAGGAAAGGGTCACAGTAAATGTTCAGGTGAGAGTGTGTTTGGGATGTGCAGCTTACATTGGTAACATCCTAGAAGACGGGCAAATCCAAGCTGGCAACACACTCGCACAAAGTGATCAACATATGTAGCCTGTAAATGTCACACCATGAACTTTCAAATACACCTTTAACTATGGTACAGTCTTGGATGAGAAAATACTTGATATTTTCTTCAAATAATGATTGTAGACCAAATGTAAACAGGATCATCTGTCCACAAATCAAACGGCACATCAACCTAACAGCTATTGTTTATGTGTTGTCGTGCCCGTGGTCACGTGTCACAAGGGGCAGATAAGTCGAAACGGCAAAATTGGAAAATGGCTAATTGTATTGCATTATTTATGTTGAGATTCAGTAGAGGGCTGGGATGTAATGGTTAGTCACTGGTGACAGGGAGTAAAGACAGATCTGGAAGAGACTCCAGAATATTCCAGTACAGTCAGGCCCAGCCAGTTCTATATATAGAAAGGGGGCTTGCTGTTGTCTTGGTCATCTCCCATTATGACACACAACAAATTGAGACCAGCTGTTGTGTGAAGATCACTTTTTATGCTGGATTCCTTGGCTGGGCCTGTTTTGGAAGCTTGATATCTATTGCAACAACATGAATATTGTTGCCGCAATCTGTTTATTTAGTTCATTTAGACCATTGAATAAGCATGCAGGGCTTTTCAGTCGAACTCTTTTTATGGACTTAGCTGCTTTTGAAAATAGAACTGAACAACTAGCAACATAATGGTATGCTTGACAACGACATTAGAACCTAAGTCGAAACGTCCACTCCACAGAATGAAAGAAGTTGTATATCCATAATAATTGTCATTATTCTTCATAATGGTATTGTGTAAAACACATTTACCAAATCTAAATTGTCACAGAGAAATTGTAGACAAAATTTAAAAAACAATGAATTTCTTATACAATTACCCATTAAAGGAAAGTAATGTAATGGCAGTACAACATTCAAAGGGAGTCGGTTACAATGGCAGTATAGAATATAGTGAGCAAAACTTGCCCATGACTCAAAGCTGGTAGCCCATGCTTTAATTTCCCATGGTGAGCCCAGAATAGAATGACAATCTTGTACTTGTCTTCAGCTTGATGCTGTGGTGGGCGATGCCAACATGCAACTTTAGTGATGTGCTTGATGAAATGGGCCTTACCCATGATGAACAATTATTTCTGATGACATTGATAGCGACAAGCTGATATTTCAGAGCATGAATGGGACATAATATACCTTCAGGATGATATACCATAGCTCCTAGTTATTGTATGGTGAAATACCTGTGACCTAAAGGGCCAGTATCTGTTGATTAGTCCTTACCTACAGTCAGGCACAGAGCACAATGATAGACTTCCAATCTGTATCATCAGTGAGGCTTGAATAGTAGTCCAAGGCCTGTACATGTACTTTGGAGAATTTAACTGTTCGATCAGACTAAGCTCTTCAATGTTTTGGACCACAGTAGTCCTTGTGAGAAGTTCAAATGGTTTACCCAGGAGAGCAGATAAACTACTGGTACGCATTCCGTTTGTAGAATATTCAAGGAGAGTGAACATCCATGCCTTTTCAATAGGGGATGGGTGTCCATTGTCAATCTGTCATGTTTGAAGAACAGAATGAAAAGCAGATAGATAACCTCATATTGTACCATAATGAAATTTGTTATCTTGTTGTATGTTCAGCAAAGTTCAGTAACCATGGGGATAGTGACTTTTGCATTTATTTATCCAGTTTCCAGCACCATACAACATTGCCCCACCTATTGTTATGAAGGAGTGAGGATGATTTTCTCATTATGTAGCAGCTGCTGAGGACAGGGGCTCACATTTCTTGCAAGATATTTTCCAGGTGGTCTGGTTCTGAGATCAGAAGTTAGAAGATGCTTGTTGTGCTGTACCAGGTAAACTTTCTTCATGAAGGATGCAGAACCAGTTCACTTATGCTAGACTGTCGAGACTACACTGTCCATATAGCATAGACAAGCGAAAATCCCATATCCTTAGGAAGCCATGGTATACAAGTAAGTCAATGTGAGATGATGAAGTTACTAATAGATGAAGGAATTCTGTTTTTCAGTCAGCCAGACCACTGTGTGATCATTGAAGCAATATTTCCAAGAAAACATGATATGATATTATAATTATATATAATCTCCAGTCACTGGCTAATGGGTGAGTGAGTGACTTTAGTTTTACCCTGCACTCAGCAATATTTTAGCTATATGGCAGCGGTCTGTAAATAATCGAATCTGGACAAGACAATCCAGGGATCAACAGCATGAACATCAATCTACGCAATTGGGATACGATGACATGTGTCAACCCAGTCAGTGAGCCTGACCACCCGATTATAGTCACCTCTTACGACAAGCAGGAGTTACTGAAGATCAATTCTAACCAGGATCTTCACGGGTGATTGGCTAATGAATTTTCATGAGGTCATTTTGTAAATATATATCACTCTCTTCGACTTGTTAGGTTATACATTTCTGGTGTCCCCCGCCGTGATGTTGTTGGAATATTGCTAAAAACGGCGTAAAACCAAACTCAGTCAGTCAGTCAGTCAGTCAGTGTTAGGTTATAATACACTTTTAGTTTTAAATCATGCAAAGTTATGGCCTGCTTTTAATTGTATTTTATCTTTTTTTAATCTTTTTCTTATTGTTTCTACATTCAAATTTCTGGCTCATGAATTATTTTGTGGGCAAGTAGTAACTTTCAGGCATAGCTAGCCCAACTGGTGAGCAAAATTTGAAAACTATTTTGCACACTGTTTGGAACAATTTTGACAAAGAAACTTCCCAGTGGTGCAATAATGCATTATGTTATCTATTTACTTTTTTGGGCATCAAATGCAAGAATATGGCAAAATATAGATTGCTGCAGTAGCCAACCTGTAAGTTCCCTTGACTGTACTGCTGGTGGTGTGTAATGTCTGTACCAAGAGTGCTGGGGGAGCCTCCTGTGCGTGTAACATCAGGTACACTATAGCATACATCAAAAGTTGTCTGGCCTGCTTGCACAATTTCAGGATCTGGGGAGTTTCTGATGCTGCTTGAAGCTGATGAGAAAGGGGAAGAACCTAAACCTGAAAAACACATACATATTATAAAAACAAACTATCCGCAATGATATTAACAAAAGAGTAATAGTATTCAAGTAAGGGTTGGGTGATGATGATTGGGTGATGAAGCAAGAACAATAAGAATGACCCCCTAATATTTTTATGTACAGAATTGTTAACCTTGTACATGCATACAAAATTGTTGATCCCACCTAATTCTCTAAAACTAAATGGGCAAGCCGCCTTAAAATCATCATCATGCACGCACACACACACACACCAGCCATAAATTATGAACGGGCCCTAAAGGTGTAAGTCATGACTAGAAATATCTTACTAATTGTTTGATCGGCATTCTAGAAGTTGGTGAGTCAACAAATGAAACATACAACTTTATGGATGACAACTTTTGGTTTATTTGCGTTGAGCGACGTTTCAATGTTTTTGCTTGATAACGATGTAATAATCTTCATCGAAACGTCGCTCAACGCAAATAAACCAGAAGTTGTCATCCATAAAGTTGTATGTTTCATTTGTAGAAATATCTTGTCATCATAATTTCTTTTCAATATATTGTACATTAAATACTTCTATAACACACAATACATTTAATCTTTCTTCAATCCTTGTGTGAAAAAGATCTCAGAACAAAGTTTCCAGATTCAAAAAAATCTCATCCAATCACATCCCATGGTTATCACCTTAAACACTAAGGCACACATACTGAAGGTCATCGAGAGGCTGACGAAAACGACATACTGTGCACCCTATTCTCATTCTGGAATGCAGAGGCTGCTGTACTGTGATGATGTGCGGATAAGTATGTCAGATAAGTTTGTGAGGGTAAGTGTGTCAGATAAGTGTGTGAGGGTAAGTGTGTCAGATAAGTGTGTGAGGGTAAGTGTGTCAGATACGTGCATCAGGATAAGTGTGTCAGATAAGTGTATGAGAAGAAGTGTCAGGTAAGTGTGAGGGTAACTGTGTCAGCATAAGTGTGTCAGATAGGTGTGTCAGGATAAGTGTGTCAGATAAGTAAGTGTGTCAGCATAAGTGTGTCAGATAGGTGTGTGAGGATAAGTGTGTGAGGGTAAGCATGTCAGATAAGTGTGTGAGGGTAAGTGTGTCAGATAAGTGTGTGAGGGTAAGTGTGTCAGATATGTGTGTGATTGTAAGTGTGTCAGATAATATGTGAGGGTAAGTGTGTCAGATAAGTGTGTGAGGGTAAGTGTGTCAGATACGTGCATCAGGATAAGTGTGTCAGATAAGTGTATGAGAAGAAGTGTCAGGTAAGTGTGAGGGTAACTGTGTCAGCATAAGTGTGTCAGATAGGTGTGTGAGGATAAGTGTGTCAGATAGGTGTGTGAGGGTAAGCATGTCAGATAAGTGTGTGAGGGTAAGTGTGTCAGATAAGTGTGTGAGGGTAAGTGTGTCAGATAAGTGTGTGAGGGTAAGTGTGTCAGATAAGTGTGTGAGGGTAAGTGTGTCAGATAAGTGTGTGAGGGTAAATGTGTCAGATATGTGTGTGATTGTAAGTGTGTCAGATAATATGTGAGGGTAAGTGTGTCAGATAAGTGTGTGAGGGTAATTGTGTCAGATTAGTGTGTGAGGGTAAGTGTGTCAGATAAGTGTGTGAGTGTAAGTGTGTCAGATAAGTGTGTGAGGGTAAGTATGTCAGATAAGTTTGAGAGTGTAAGTGTGTCAGATAAGTGTGTGAGGGTAAGTGTGTCAGATACGTGTGAGGGTAAGCATGTCAGATACGTGTGAGGGTGTGTCAGATAAGTGTGAGAGTGTAAGTGTGTCAGATAAGTGTGAGGGTAAGTGTGTCAGATAATCGTGTGAGGGTAAGCATGTCAGATAAGTGTGTGAGGGTAAGCGTGTCAGATACGTGTGTGAGTGTAAGTGTGTCAGATAAGTGTGTGAGGGTAAGTGTGTCAGATAAGTGTGTGAGGGTAAGCATGTCAGATAAGTGTGTGAGGGTGTGTCAGATAAGTGTGAGAGTGTAAGTGTGTCAGGATAAGTGTGTGAGGGTAAGTGTGTCAGATAAGTGTTTGAGGGTAAGTGTGTCAGATAAGGGTGTGAGGGTAAGTGTGTCAGATAAGTGTGTGAGGATAAGTGTGTCAGATAAGTGTGTGAGGGTGTGTCAGATTAGTGTGTGAGGGTAAGTGTGTCAGATAAGTGTGTGAGGGTGTGTCAGATAAGTGTGAGGGTAACCATGTCATAAGTGTGTGAGGGGGTGTCAGATAAGTGTGTGAGGGTAAGTGTGTCAGATAAGTGTGTGAGGGGGTGTCAGATAAGTGTGAGAGTGTAAATGTGTGAGGATAAGTGTGTCAGATAAGTGTGTGAGTGTAAGTGTGTCAGATAAGTGTGTGAGGGTAAGTGTCAGATAAGTGTGAGAGTGTAAGTGTGTGAGGGTAAGTGTATAAGATAAGTGTGTGAGGGTAAGCATGTCAGATAAGTGTGTGAGGGTAATTGTGTCAGATACGTGTGTGAGGGTAATTGTGTGAGGATAAGTGTGTCAGATACGTTTTTCAGATATGTGTGTGAGGGTAAGAGTATGGTTGGATGGTAAGGCAATGAACCCATGCCTGTATAAACACCTTAACTGTAAGACATATATGAGGAAGCTGGATAACACAAACTTAGATTGTTAACAATTACAACTTATGTACGGGAAGCTTCGTAAAGAATCCTTTGCTCTACTAAGAGGAGATAACAAGAACTCAAGTAACTCATGAGTTCCATTGTTTTTCACATAGGGTGTTGATCTATTGAATGACTGCATATCCTTCAACAAGGCAAGCCTATTCTTCACTGGAAGGTAAGTTCTACAAGATAGACTTCATACATTAGATATATATCAGGCCAGACTCGTTATCAAATACAACCAAAGTGAATGGATATGCTGAGAACGAGAAGAGGATACCATCAACAATATCCCACCAGGTCCTTAACAAACTGTTGAGTCGTCATGTGTCCAGCAGGACGAAGATCAGGACACCATTTAGGTCAACGGCTGCACCTACCAGTAATAGTGACATACCGTTCCTCTGAGAACCCATCAGGGAATCCGATAGTAGAATTACCAGTATAAACAATAGAATATGCGAATGAAGTTTCAAGTAATTACTGCTGTAGGTATAAGATATGACAGCTGTACTAGAAGTAGAATATACTGGTATCCTCATCAGTTTGATGGGCCATAGCCAGTTGTTGTGCCAACATGAGAGGTCCCAACATGTAGTAAAGTCCCTGGGCCTCACAAGGTACCAGTAGTTGGAAACCATCTCAGTGAGCAGTTGTACCTATTGTTTCAACCAATTTAGTAGTACTGAGCAAAGATTAGCTTTTCTTAAGAGAAATGCTACCTTTAGTATTTTTTCTTCAACAACCTAATAAATATGAAACAAGGTACGAACTTTCAAGGCCATACAAAGAATTCAAACATAATAGAATAGTTTGAATTTACTATTATTACATTGTTATATTTTATATAATCAATCGTAAACACAAATATCAATACATGCAAGCTCTAACAGATTAGGCATTAAGGAAGTTACCAATTGAAAGCTTACTGGATTGTAACTATTTCTTTTTCATGAGAATGAAGGATGAGAATGTAGTTTTGAGAAAAACTCTGAAAACTAGCAGGGGGTTTAGCATCTATTATTGGATTTAGATGATTCACAAAAATGACCCTTGGCCTTATGAAATTCCTGGAATTCCGCAGATCCGTGGAAAATTCTCATCCCTGATAATGTAAAGTTGATAATGTTACCTAATAGAATATAAAGTCAGGGTTTTACATAACGCATGATTCCTGTGTATTTGATGCAACAATTTTGTAAACGACTCTCAAAATATTATCATACGAGTCAAGTTTGACGCAAATTTTATGGGTGGCCCTCACAATTCAGTTCAATAAATTTGATTGATAAGCAAAAAATGATATTGTTCAATGATAGTTTGACTATTACCGGGATTTCCCGTATTTAAGCCCAGGGCTTAATAACTGAAATGACCCCTCTCGTTAACAAATATAAACCCCATAATTAAGCCCAGGGCTTAAATTCGGGAAATGCTTCTAACTGAAGAAAACAATTCTAAGACACAGTAAAATGGAATGAACATTAATAATGATATTATCATATTTTTGGGGGACTGCATTTGAGTCACATGGATTGAGATTGTCTATTTGAGTATAGAGTATCTGACCTCTCTTGGGACTCCAAAATGTTCTATACACGTGAAAAACTCAAACTGCACTACAAACGTTATATATGCTGACGTTCGCCATGTGCTTTTGCAAAGGGACGTCACTCTAAAGAATAAAATTTGAAATCTTAATTTAGGCCCATGTCAGATTGTTAAATAATAAATATTGTGAGTCACCATGGCTCCCAACTCACGCCTTTGCATTGACACATAATATTCATGCATTTATTACCCTTAAGATACATTTGTCGAATTCTAATTGGTCTATAGCCAAAACATACCAAACCATGTAGGAGGGTTTGCCAGGGTGTACGTACCATACACCCCATCAAATCTGTCATGTGACACACTACACAGGTTGTATGAATGACCTTGACCTTTGATGGAATGTGGCTTCCAAATGGCTGATCGCTTCAAAATTTTAGAGTTGGTGTATACAATTATGAGTAAAACCAGAGTAATAAAAATGTTGTCATAATTTCTTATTTGTTTGTGTCAATAAATATATCCAAAAAATAAATTGTTTCTGTATTTCACTTGTCGTTTAACAAAACCTCAAATTCGATAATTTTTATCATATTGACTAAGCCATCCCGAGTTATCTCCCTTTATGATAGTTCAGAAAAAAGCATGGCGAAACGTTTTGCGTCTTATTCTGCCAATGATTGAATATTGTTGTATAAAGATAAGATAAATAAAAAGATCTTAAGGGTAATAAATTCATCACACGGTGTTTTGAAAGTGTGTACAGGACTGTAAGACCCTTGTAAATGCCATATTTCCTTCGGTTGCGCCTCAGGAAATACGACATT